CATTGGTGGACAAACGCTATCTAGGTGGGATCCGGAATATCTTGTACCATTTGTAAATACCATAGCTGAGCAATTCCCTCTAAGTGATAAGAGGCTAAGCTCACCTTTCTACCTTAGGTGTCTGATTGATGTTCGGAAAAAAGTGTTTAGGCTAATCCAACCTAATGGGTCTTCTAGCCCATTGAAGCAAGGAAAGTCAAAATTTTAGTACAATCAAGTTTCTCCAAAACTCCAAAATTTTTAGAAATGGTTGTCGTAGAAATCCCTTCTCCTTGTTTTTGCTTGACTTTGAGCACTTGAAGAAGTCAGACCTTTGTGTATTCCAACTCGAGAGCATGGCATCCAATTTGACATGAAGTCAGATAGACCAATAACAACCATTGTTACGTCAAGAGACATGACATCCAATTTTGCATGAAACTGCTCAACCTTCTCATTATAGACCAATTGCCTGCTGTTCAGATAAGAGTAAATTGGTAAGCTGTTCTTGCACAAATTCATTCATAACTATTGGCTATGTTACCAAATTGTGACTGGCCCAAATTTGCAATCGAGTTATGGGTCTCTAGTAAGTGGGAGATGGAAGGTGTTCGTGTGGGTGAAGAGAGAAGTAGTACACTTGTCAAGGCAAATCATTCTCCTAAAATATAAGAAATAACTAAAAGTAGAAATGAAAGTGGAGAACTCCTTAAAGATACTGAAAAAAAAAATGCATAAAGAAAAATTCAACCAACAACAAAAACTAATTTAGAATTGGTTAGAAATAGAAATGAAAGTGAAGACTCCTTAAGATACAATAAAAAAATGCTAAAGAAAAATTCAACCAGCAACTAAAAATAATTTGAATTGGTTAGCCTTCAATTATTTTGTTTTTCTTTGTAATCGTCAGTGGGTTCCGTACGTGACTGCTTCTTTCTGCTATGAGTATAACGTGTGTACATTGTAGTAGCGTTGTATCAAAAGCTCCTTCTCATCTTCGTTTAGGAAGAAAGAAAATGTTTTGTGACAAGCGGGTATATGTATGCTTTCTTGGGCTTTGGAGTGAAAGTAACAATAGAACTTTTAGAGGATGGAACGTCATTCTAAAAACGTTTAGCTTTGTTGTTAGGTTCCATGTTTCCTATGGGTTTCAGTAACAAAGCTTTTTTATAATTATTTGCCTATGCCCTTATTTTTTTTCTCAATGAGAGAGTTTGATAATTAAAAAAAGACTAAAAAATAGGCTAAACTGACTTCTATTGCACCCTTTTTCATTTTTTTAATTTTTTTTTTCTCTTCCACGAAACATTGGGCGATGTGATCATCTTCTGCCTGTCTTCTCTTTGGTGAATGCCTTGTTTTTCTCTGTACTACCTGTGTCTATGTAAGGAAATAGAGAATAAGGTATAGAATATTAGGTTGGCACATTTGTCTTTATTTAAGAAGTTTGTGGGAGGGAGAGTCCATGCTTCTTGCTTAAAATCCTGAAATTTTCTGTTAAATGTCATTACTATATTTGTTAATTTCGTTTCGGTTTCTTTGGTCCCTAGCAGTCTATTATCCTTATTATCATCATTTTCTTTTTGCAGGAAGGAATACGAAGACCTTTCAATAAAGGCCAAGTCAAGATTTAGCATATCCTTAAGGAACCTTTCACAACCTATGTCACTTGGGGACATAGCGAGAACTTGGGATGTCTGTGCACGTACTGTTGTTTCTGAGTACGCTCAGCAGAGCGGCGGTGGCAGCTTCTGTTCAAGGTATGGAGCTTGGGAGAACTGTTTGAGCGCTGCATGATTCAAAGAATCGATCGAAAAGGATTTGGCCGATTTGGCCGACTGACCAGCTCGGTATGCTTAGGGAAGACGGGCAGTTTATTTAAGTAACGTTAGCGTATCATAAGGTATGCCTCACTAAAGCTGAAAGTACACGCTGCATGTTGTTTAATCAGGGCTAGGCTAATTCAGTATTTATATTACCACGGTGGATCTGTTTTGCTTGTGAACACTGATTCCTCTTTGGCTCTCTCTCTCTCTCTCTGTAAATCATGAAATGAGGGACTGTAAAAGTGAAATACCTGATGTTCACTGAATGCATACATTTATTGTCTGAGTTGAAAAGTATATGTGGAATAAAACTACTGCTGTGCTCATCTTGGACTAGACCTTCTGGAATGTGTAATAACCCAATTTTTTTGCCTACATGCTGATTGGAGCCATTACTTGAATGAAAAATGTTTTGATTGTTGCTGGAACATATTTGGAGTATCTTTTTTTGAGGGCCTAGGGGTGATGATATGAACTCGGTTGAATTAGGTTAAAAACTCGACTCTCGTTTCGAGCATCTTGACAATGGTTGTGTATTGTTTCTTGAAACTCCTGACTTTACAGTATACAGTCGGTGCCCCTTTCAAATTGCAACCCAATAACATCTGTTCCATCACGTTCTAGCTGCAGTAGGTTGTTTGATCTCCAACCCACTTTTACTAAAACAACAAATGACTCAACAAGCTTTGCATCCTCTATATTCATCCATAAGTGTTTTTTGTTTTTTTTAATACCTATGTTGGGTGCATCTTAGTTGGTTCTTGGAGTTTAGTATACTTTATTGGTTTTTAGTTCATTTCAGATGGATTTTTTATAGAATTTTTCCGATTTACTCTAAAAGGCATTTCAGACGAAGAATTCTATGATTGAGTATATTTCAGTTAGTATGTAACGATGAATTGGAAGTTTAATTTCAAACATTCCGATTAGATTAGCAAAGTAGGAGGAATTTCTTCGCTCATTCATTCTTGAAGAATAAGAGATTCAATTTCGATAAATGACTATGTTGCTAATCTAATCGGAATGCTTACTTATATGACTACGTTCGTGATCTCAAACACAATCCTCCCTACTAAGGACTCGCTCCATCCCAACTTAGTCTTCAAATAGAATACCTCTAACTTGATACTATATTAACCCTATCAATATTTTGTAAACTTATTTTGATGAATTTTATTGATTAAATTTAAATTATAATTAATAAAAAATAATTAAATATCCTATATATATATATATATATATATTATTCATAAATAAAAATTATTATAATTGGGTAAGATTTATAAGTATATCTTATTTAATCTCATTTACTATTCAAAGAAAATATTTAATTTTTTTTTAAAATATAAGTGATACTAAATATTTATAATTAAAATTTTATATAAATTTATTATGAGGATAATTATTAAGATGCAACCAAAATAAACTAAAAAATATAAAATTTAAGGGAGATAAATAAATATTTAATTAGTTAAAGTTGTTTTTTTGGTGATTTATTAAAAATAAAATAATTAACCACAATTAATTAAAATTAAATACTATATTTAAAAATGTTTTTTTGGTGATTTATTAAAACTATAATAATTAACCCCAATTAATTAAAATTAAATACTATAATAAAATTTAAATAAAAATTTAATTAGTTAAAGTTGTTTTCAGTGATAAAAAAAAAAACAACACAAAACGTACTTTGAGCGTTTTGCCTCATTACCAGTCGGGACTGTTGCCTTACGACATTTGAAATCAGGGTTTTGCTCTACCATGCTCATCCGGAGGTTTCATCGAGCAGCGACATGGGCGACGCCTCTGTTGCGAGACACAACTGTAAGTTTTCGAACTTGTTTTTCTCTTCGTTTGTCTTCTCGAATCTTTGAATGCTTGGATTTCCTGTTTTATGGTTTATCTGTCCGTTAATTGTCTTCATATGCATTACCATTTTCTGATTGAATCGTAAACAGGAAGTTCTTAGTTTCTCTTTATTTCTGCTTATACTACGATTATTTTTTATGTATTCAACAAACGGCTAATGAAAGGAAGAACTAGGTACCCCTTTTTTAACTTTCCGTATTGCGGTTCTTGCATCAGGATTTTTCGGATTACAATCATCTGTTAGTTCTCCTTTGGTCCTGTTCTGCTTAAATTCTCTGTTTTGTGTTATTTGTGAAATAATGAACTGTGGTTAAAAGCTCTCCTCATCACTTATTTCTAATTTTTCTATAGTATTCATTCCATGATTTACCCAGAACTATGCCTTTTTTGGTCTAGTCTGATTTTGGAACGTCAAGACATTGGTTGGATATGTTTATATAAGAATTGCGCATTAACTTCCTGTATACTATATTAACGTACGTTAACTTGTTTCAAACTTCTTTTAAGGAATCTTAATTTATCAATATATGAGCACACAGGTAGGACAAGTCATGGAGCTTGGAGTCAACAAGCTGCAAATTGGGAACTCTTGTTACTGCACAATGTTACAAAATCAAATGCCTAAACGTTTTGCTGATAAAGATATGACAGATAAGGTATCTGAGATTAAAACAAAATTGTTCATGCATAGAAAGTATGACGTATTCTTAAGTCTTTTGATGCTGCAACTGAGTAAAATTAGTTTTGTTGATATTTTAAAGGTTAACCTTTTCTTTTCTTCTTTTGGTATAACTGTCTTAGCTCTCTCTATTTATATTTCACTATTTGGCGGCAGAAATGATATTAAGGTTGATGAATTATATTTTATTGAAGGGTTTGAAAAAGGAAGAGAGTCCTATTATCTTTGTCACAATTAGGGTTTAGGATGATAAAGTAGTGCTGGGTCCTTACTTCTCAAGTTTTTATGCTCATAAATCTTTCTTGTAGTTGTCAGTTTCTTCTACCATTGTGCATTATATCTTGACTTACAAAATGTACTTTCTTTCTTTATTTTCGTTTGTTTCTGTTATCCTGTCAAACATTCCACATATTTGATATGCCTCGAGTACTAAAATAGAGTAATAATGATTATGGAAATTACCCTAAATGTACTTGCTGGTAATTTAGTTAACTCTTGAATTGTCTACCAATGATCCAGGATGTTAACAATAGTAAACCTTTGTACCAGACTTCAGAGCGAAATATTGGAGACATTAGAAAGCACCAAATTGGGGAAAACGTTTCACGGAAGGACAAAATTAACTTTCTTGTAAATACTGTAAGTATCAATGGGAAACTATCTTCCCTCTTTCTTCTTTCTTTTTTTGGGGGGTGGGGATGGTTGGTAGTCAATTGACTCTTCTCAAAATCATGTATAGGTGTATTTTCATTTGATGGGTGGCTATTATATTTTCTGAATAAGTAATAGTCTAATTCCAAAAAGAAAAAAAAAAAAAAAGAAAAGAAAAAAGAAAGACACTTCAAATAATCAAATGCTAAAACTGATTGCTTTGATAATAGTTGCATAAACCAAACACTAATTGACGAGTCTTTTTGTTTCCTATCAAAAGTAATATCAAGATGCCTTTCGCAAGTCCTATATCCTTCTGTCATTTAATTTATTTACTTCTATAATATATATTGCTTTTTATTCACATTGGGTAAGAAAGCATCGAGAAGTGGTAAACATGAATTTCAGCGAGCTATGATTGTATCTAGATTGTTTGCTCATAACAACTAGAGGGATATTAAAGGTGCCTTGGAAGATCATTTTGAAGTCTCTGTTTTGTTTAATTCTTTCATGGCTGACAAGACTTTACTCAAACTTGATGATGGTAACTCTCCATTGGTTTTAAATCCCACCGGAAATTGGAAGCTCTGTTGTGATTTTCATTTGCTTATCAAGAAGTGGTCTAGAGATAAGCACGCTCATCTGAATTTCATTGAAAGGTATGGTGGGTGGATCACAATCAAGAACTTACCTCAACTTATTGGGAACACAATATCTTTGATGCTGTTAAAAATTACTAACACTTAATATATTGGATTTTACTAAGATGGACATGGAAGTCAAAAGGAATTTGTGTGAGTTTTTCCTGACTACTACTGGAATTAGTGATAGGAACAGAGGAAATGTGTTTCTTAGATTAGGATGTGGATTTTTTGATGTCCCAGGGAATGGAGTTTGTATGAGTCTCAATTTTTAGTTATTCCTATGTTTTCTAATCATGTACCTTTTGACAAGAGATGAAGTTATAGTCATAAAACTTCGAATAAACTTAAGTGATATTGTAGTTTACCTCAGTGATGCTCAGGGTAACAAAATGGCCAAGGTACTCGGAGGTAGTAGGAACCCGAGATGAAGAGATAATTTTAGTCATAACTACATCATTCCCAATAGTTGGCAACATATTAGACGTTTCATTTCGAGCTTTAGGGACATTTAAAGACATGGAGTTTCTGAGATATTCAGAAATGGATTTGTACATTCCTCAGACATGGAAGCTTGCTGATCTGTTGACTGAAATAGGGAGTTGAAGGCATTTGCATAAAAATCTTCGAACTATTAGATCATCCAATGTATAGTATAGTAATTGGGCTGAATATCTAATTCAAATTGACATCCGACTCATCATCTGAATCATTGAAAGGAACTGCATTGGAAGATGAATGATCATTCGATGACTTTAAAATTTCATGAGAAAATTTGGAACTACCTAGACCTTTGTCATATTCAATCAATACTGATGGGGTATTTTTCTTCAATCTTCTTCCTGGGATAACCTCCTGCTTTTCTAAATGAATCAAAGGGATTGAAGATATTTTCAAAGAACATTTGGTCCGAAGGTACAATATCTTCATTGAATGTGAATGAGATGGGTCTGCAAAATACGAAGGGGTTGAAGATTTTTTCCCTGCATAGAATTTTGAATAGGTTACATTAAAACAATCATTTACTTTCTTATTGCTCAAAATTTCTAAAGATTCAAAGACAGTAGGTACTCATCAGTTTGTGCATTTGTTTGATAGACTTCCTCATTTTATGCCTTCGTTACATGGGAAGATTGGAGGATTGGTCAGGTTGATCTATTAAGAGTGGGCCCACAGGAATTTCCTCAAGAGGCGCGAGTAAAGGCTCCAAAGGATTCGATAAAAAGCAATTGAACGTATCCTCCTCGTTTAGACCTTGTTTATAAAATGCAACATCCCCCCGGCTCATTTAGGACTATCTTCTAACTCATTGTAAGGCAGCCTTCACATGAAGATCACTATCATTAAATGCAACATTCCCTGACTCATTTAAAACCACATTTTTTGATCCAACTAACCTATGAACTGGTGAGTTTAAAATTTCTTCCTTGGTCATGGTGGTGACGGCTTTATCTTCCATAAATTGCTCTATCCTATTTAAATCCAATGAATTTGAAAAGTCATTTAAAGATAATTCACGGTTGATGATATTAGGAGGTTCTAAAGGAGAAGCATCCGAAGGGAAATGCCTCCTTTTTTCATATCCTTGATCACAATGGTTGCATGAAAGAAAACCACTTGGGTTTTTCTTAACTTCAATACAAGCTCGTTGAAATCAATCAAATTTAGAATATTAGAAGAAATGCGAATAAGGCCCCTGAAATACTCTCTAATTGCTTCAATCGTACTTCGCCTCCAATATATTCAAGGTAAGTTGTTGATAGAAATCCAACCTCCATACCCTTCAATAAGCTCCGGATGAGAGTGCTTCTTTTGTGACAGTTTTTCAATTTTCAATAGCAAGTTTCCATAAAATCTCCATTTTCCATCACTAATGTTTACTAATGTTTCCTTGGTTTCCTTCCATTTATTATGAACAAGCAATTTGGAGACAACAAAACGCTCACTGAAATTATATGTATCACTTTTGCTTCTCTCACCCAAAATGATGGTTCAATCAAGTTGTCAATACAAGAAATCCCTGCAAGCTGATTACTCTTTGGATTATTCCTCTGTTTCATCTCCACAAAGTGGTTATTCTTCAGATTATTCCTCTGATTTGACTTCACAACTCTGCAGATCTTCTGGTAAATGACTTTTCATTGATCTCTATCTTCATATAATGATCTTCGGGCATTGCCATATTAGGTAGTTGCATTTCGGGCTCACTGTTTTTACTCATGTTTCTTTAGGAAATCCCATAGCAATTCCCAGAAAATGACCCATCCATGTTTGGCAAAACCATCAGACCTTGAGCAATTTCCTTCCTCTTGAAGGTGGCCAAACCACACATCCAATGTGCTAACCTTGACTTTTCAGATTATTGCTAATGGAAAACCAAGAGGAGATTTATCTAGTTGTTATTCACGTCTTTTACAAAACACATTTTATCTTCAGACTAAATGCAAAAATACGTGTTATGAACACAACTCCTTACCTCCATAATTCAAAATCAACCTAATTATCTTGGAGGAAGGTGATTATGAGTATTCATGGAAAATTTTCTTTAGAATCGCTTAAGGATGGTCGTCATGCATCAAGCCTTAGAAGTCCTTGGTCTAATGTTTCTAAGATTTAGAAAAAGGTTGAATCTTATGTCTCTTTTAAACTTGGAAAAGGTAATCAAATCTTTTTTTGGCAGGACAAAGAGACTGGAGGTATTTCTTTGCAGCATTTTCTTCCTCAATTTTTTGTTCTCTCTTCACCTCCTGATGGTTCTGTTTTTTTTAGTTTTGGGATTCTATTCATCTTTCTTGATCTTTAATCTTTCAAAGGTTATTGAAAGACGATGTGATATTGGCTTTTCAATCGTTATTGGGTCCCCTGGATACTTCAATGGTAGATTCTTCTGAGGATTCAAGATCATGGTTATAAGAGCTCTCTGTCTCTTTCTCAGTGAAGTATATCGAGAGAATTAGCTTATGCTACTTCTTTACAGCCAAACCTATTCAAAATAATATGGAAATCTAGTAGTCAAAAGCGTATTAATATTCTGTTGTGGACCATTCCTTTGTAGCAATAACTATTGATTGCCTAGGATGTCCTTGCTATTATTTGAAAATTAATGTTTGAAAGAATTGATTATTAGCCATACCTAGTAAGTGACTGCACTGTCGGGTTGAAAAATTCATACATAGTCAAACCGGACATCAAATTCCAATTCTTTTCTTATACTTGGGATGTGCGATCACTTTTAAAGATAGTTCCATATCCATCATTTTCGTACACATATTTCTATGTGCATCACTTTCATACACATGAAATCCACTAGATAAGTATCACCTTTATATTCTCTAAACTTCTCTGGGTATGCGTCACTTTCATACACAACGGTCATGCATATATCATTTTCATGCATGTAGAACCCCAAAAAAGTATTGAAGGGTGGGAAAATGTATAATGATCACTCACAGGCATGAGATACCACATATATAAAACATTAGTTCTTAAACATGATCCAACATAGAGATTATTTCGTGCATAAACGTTCTCATCAAACGTAGCTAGCATCCATAACATCAATCACATCATGACTTGTCATTTCAGGAAAATACATAGTTTAGCATACATCAATCAATCATCTGACCTAGCCTTAAAACATTCCAACAGGAAAATCACATTGGCTTCAAAACCAAAAACAAAAGATTAATATTCCCTATTATGAAGATGTTTTGCCCAACCTAAAAGAAAATTTCATAGGTAAATCAATAGCTCAAGGATATGAATATTAGACTTAAATCTTGAAAGCTACCATTTACCCAATTGGTTCTTTTCTCAAAGTCGCCCTTAAACAGTATTCAAACAGTCTAAATTTATTCCAACACTACAACAAAAGATGCTGATTGCCACGACTGGCTATCTACGTGTGGGTTGATGCTGATGCCTATTCATTGGAGAAGAAAAAGATCCCCCCGAGAGGGGGAAAAGAGATGGAGATAAAAAGAGCCTTTATAATTTTTGTTTATGACGTCCTAAATGGCTCTTTTTCCTTTCCCATTATTTTTCCTTTTCTACAATCTAGTTAAAAAATTCTAATCAACCCCAAACGAACTTCAAATATAAGAAAAAATCTCTGGGAATACACTTGGGCTCTTAAAATTGAAATACAAAAATTCAATGGATGATTAAATCCTCAAAGTTATGAATTTGAGACGATTAAAAAAAATCTCTCATTCAGAAATTAAAAAAATTGATTGTCTCAACTTAACCCACTAAATCTAACTTAACCAAATTAGATCCCAAGAATTCCAATATATCCAATCGAATTCAAACTAATCACCTAAAGATTAAAATAATCTTATCAAAAAATGTAGGCATTACGGATCATGTTTCTTATAATATCTTTATCTTCAATATCAAATCTTGATGTATTTTCTAAAATAATTATACGACCTTGGAGGTTAATGAGTTCTGTAAACGTTGCAGCTTATGGATCTGAGAGATAGTAAGGAGGCTGTTTATGGTGCTCTTGATGCCTGGGTTGCATGGGAACAAGACTTTCCAATAGCATCCCTTAAGCATGCATTGGCTGTCCTTGAGAAAGAAAACCAGTGGCATAGAGTTGTACAGGTATGAGTTGTACCAGCCATTCTTTATCTACTCTCTTTTCCTTTTACCCACTCTTCCCACTTTCATGTTGAATGGAAATTAGTCTTCTCACTAGCCAAAAGGTGTGAAGGACATTAAATTTTTGGGGCAGGTATATGAGCATGCAATTAGATGCAAATCCACAATATTACTGCTATATTCCCTTCTCGTGTAAACTGCAGAATTTTAGAGCATTGGCTGTGTGATGCAGTATATAATGGGCTATTTTACCAATTCTGTTTTGTTTAAAGTAAAATCTAAGAGGATGCACAAATAAACCCTAGTTTAAGGAAGAGTAAATAGCAAAGACAGTAAGTAATGGGCTTTTAATGGCTAAGAATCTGTAAGTTACCCTATTTAACACTAATATACAGCCAAAGAAGCACCAACACTCCCATTTAGGTAATGCATTTGCTTCGAACACTCCGACACTTGTTGGACACAGCCAGTTGTTTGTTAACATATCAAGTGATAATTTTTGTACAAAATGAATTAGTCCAATAATTTTTGTTTTTTTTTTGGATAAGAAACAATTTCACTGGTTAATGAAATTTACAAAAAGAATAGATAATTCATGAGGATTACAAAAAAGCTTTTCCAATTGGTCAATAGGGAATTGTAACTAGGGAGCCAGCAAAGTGATTACACTTTACACCAAGACATAGAATAATAAATGAAGAGATCGAAGAACACTTCAAATGGATGAATGTTCTTTATTTAGAAAAATCCTTTGCTCTCTCTCCTTCCATAAAACCCCAAGGGAAGCCTTGTTTATGTGCATCCACAGTAGAGCTCTTGCTTTTTTAAAGGGGTCACGTAACATAACATTGGTGAGAATGTCCTTCGCATCTTTAGGAATTGTCATATACCATCCAAAAGCCTTGAGAATTCTGTTCCAAAATTTCAAAGCAAAAGGGCAGTGTATGAATAAATGGTTCTGTGTTTCATCTTGGCCTTGCCTAAAGGATACCAGCTTGGGGAAGTTTCCAAGTATGGCATCCCCGTTTGGAGGTTGTCTTTGGTAGTGATGGTTCTGTGAGATAATTCCCATAGGAAAATTTTGGGTAACTATCGTCTAGATAATTCTAGCCAATGCCGTCTCCAAAAGGTGAGTTGAATATCCTATATTTAATAACAAATAACAAAGATATTGTGCATAAGGGACCATTTGGATTAGGTAACCATCTCTATGAATCCTCCCTCTTTGAGAGAACAATAGGTGCAAGGTCAGGACTGAGATCAGCCACTCCAGGCTTTCTCGTCCTTCTAATTTCTGCCAAGTTGCAAGTCCCAGAAGCTATTAACAGTGGAACACTGTAACAACCCAAGTCCACTGCCAGCAGATTTGTCCTCTTTGGGCTTACACTTACGGTTTTTAAAAGGCGTCCGCTTGGGAGAGGATTCCACACCCTTATAAAGAGTGTTTCGTTCTCCTCTCCAACCGACGTGGGATCTTACAATCCACCCCCTTCAGGGTCCAGCGTCCTCGCTAGCACTCATTCCTTTCTCCAATCATGTGGGACTCCCACCAAATCCACCCCCCTTTCAGGGCCCAGCGTCCTTACTGACACACCACCTCGTGTCTACTCCCCTTTGGGGAACAACCTCCCCACTTGCACATCATCTGGTGTCTGGTTTTGATACCATTTGTAACAGCCCAAACCTACTGCTAGCAAATATTGTCCTCTTTGAGCTTTCCCTTTTGGGCTTACCCTCAAGTTTTTTAAAACGTGTCTGCTAGGGAGAGGTTTCCACACCCTTATAAAGAGTGTTTTGTTCTCCTCCCCAACCGATGTGAGATCTTACCATACCTCTCTAATGGTAGCCTTTTTGCAATGAGAAAGTCTGTAAAGTTGGGGGGTAATGAAGGCCATTGAAGTGTTTCCACCCAAGGATCAGTCCAGAAAAGTGTTGTGGCTCCACCACCCACTTGGTAGCATATTCCGATGGTGATAAGATCTTGGTGCTTGATATTGAACATCCATTGGTAGAGAAGATACATACCTACACAATGTTGTTTACCAAGCTATATCTTGGTGTAAACTGTCTAATATTTTTACTTTCTATAGTTATACCTCCCTCATGTAAATAGGGAAGGTCTTTTGTTAACACTACGGATTATACATCCCTTTTGTAAATTTCAATCATCAATGAAATTATCTCTTTAAAAAAAAAAAAAACTTCCAAGGACTTCCTTTGGTTATCTTGACTTGAAAGGAATGGGCGTCTCTACAAAAAAAGGCCCATGTTTTTCAAATCTTTTTTTGATAATTTATTTTTTACTGCCCTCTCTTGGTGTAAATTCTCCCCACTCTTCAAAAATTATAGTCTCACATCGGTTGTTCAAAATGTTTTTTTGAATTGCCATGGCTCACTGCCCTTTTGTAATTTTATTTCACAGTCCATGAAATGATTACCTCACTGTTTCTCACAAAAAAAAGCTTATTGATGTAAATGCATAAATTTATTGATTTTAAATTCTCTGAATTCGTGGTTTCGTGTTTGTATCTTTGCTTCTTAGTATCCAACTCATAACATTTCTAAAGAATATATGTGAATCATGTTGAGTTTCTTGTTAGAACAATAGTCAAGTCCAACGGTACCTAGCTTGTTACTATTGAATTTAGACAATGAAATTGGTATATGTATAGGTTATAGAAACAAATGCTGTTAGATTCATGCAGATGTTTTGCAGGTAATCAAATGGATGTTAAGCAAGGGGCAAGGAACCACAATGAATGTCTATGGGCAGTTAATACGGGCTTTAGACATGGACCATCGAGCGGAAGAAGCACATAAGTTTTGGGTCATGAAAATTGGTTCGGATCTACATTCAGTTCCTTGGCAATTGTGCAGAAGCATGATATCAATATACTACCGAAACAAAATGCTAGAAGATCTTGTGAAGGTATAATTCTCTCTTTCATTTAGTAAATGTAGTGCTAGTGCCTTCTGGAAATGGCTTTTTGTTTGGGATATTGTTTTTTTTTTTTCCCCATTTTCCCATTAAAGTATTTTGATGATTCTCTTCTTTTGGGTTTGTACCTAGAGTATACTTCTATACTTGATTTTGATATCTCCACATAGCCCACATGATTAAAGCACATCAAGTGTAACGGTTCTGGCTCACCGCTAGTAGATATTGTCTTCTTTGAGCTTTTCTTTTCGGGCTTCCTCAAGGTTTTGAAAATGCGTCTGCTAGAGAGAGGTTCTACGCCCTTTAAGATCTGAACTAGAGTTCCCTTTCTCAAGTGGTGAATGCTAAATGATTATCA